CATTCAAAATTAAAATACTGCATAGTACTCCTTTTTAACAGACGTTAAAAAAATGAATACTATTATTGCAAATGAGGTGTGAGATTTTTTTCCCTGAATTCCTGAAATCATACACTTTCCTATTGATCAATTAAAAAAAAATACGTTGATTATACCTTCACAAGTGCCAAAGGATTGGCACAATTGCTAAAAGCATTTCTCTCTCAGCTTCCTATTGATGGTACTTTGATGATCGTCCCCTCCCTCCCGTTACTGTAGCGTAGGAGCACCTCGTAATCAATTTATTTATATTCCCAACATGCTTGTGAAAGAGAAGAAGACTTTTAATCCCATTTCAATGTCGATGATTTATGCTTGAATAATCGGATGGCTCTTAATTACTCAGCAAACCACCTGGCCACTGGATTTTTTCCACTATGTTTATTACCATGTTCTCATGTACCTCAGAAATCACTCTCGGTTGCACAGTTTCTGTTCTCAAACTTTTTTTTTTTTTTTTTTTTTTGCTTTATCGAGTGTGATGCCATATCAAGTCAACGTTATTCTCTCACAATGTGCTCTTTAAGAGGTGTGGATGTTTATATGGTCAGGGGATGCTAGAAAGTGCGGTAGTAGACATGATCAGTGTAAACAAAAGTATTTAGAAAGTATGCGAGGTTGTTTTCGATGGATAAGACTCTGATACAGTGTAGTCTTGATTACCTTTTAAAAGGTCTTCTTTGTTCAGTGTTGTCATTTTTATTAATAACCTGTTGTTTTGACTAGTTTAAAGATGGTTCTAAGAAAAGTGTTTTGGCGGGATTAGGTATGCTGTATGGACAATAAACTCACCTTGACCTAAATTTGCCTGTTTTGGCTTTATTCATTCAGTTTGAAGACGGTGCAAAAGGAGACGTGATTCCGTGATTCTAGGTAGATGGTGTTAGCAGGCATATAAAACATGAACTGTTGAATGTTGCAGTCACAGAACAAGTTTTCCTCTAAAACGTAGCTCATTGCCTACTGGGTAGGCAAATTCTGGCACGTTTCTTCTGTGAAACAGTCCCGTGAGATTTAAGGAGAACGAAGTACTAAAAACGGTAAGTTGCTGGATCAAAACATTTTGGGGAAATTAAATCGAGCTGGTGGAAAAGTCCTCGTAAGTACAGAGAGTGCACACTTTTCCAAATAATTGAAATATTTAAACCTCCACTCAGTTACTTGGTGCATTTAAAGGCTACTGCAAAAATTCTGTTGTTTTTCTTTCTATAAGCTTTGGGCAAACTGTGCGTAAAAGGAGAGGGCTTTGCGGTGAAGCCAGCGGGAAGAAATGAGCCCCCATGCACCGAGCCTCCTTCCTCAGCCCGCGCCCAGGAGGCGGGATGCTCGCCCCCGCCCTCTTCCACCTCTGCCGCTCGCGGATGCTTGCTGTGACTTGACCAACCTCCCGAGTGACCTGCCTGGCCTGGCCTCGGGGGGTCTCTCCTTCTCCGCTGCCATCCAGTAGCGGCCTTCTACTGAATTTGTGGCCTTTGGGCACCCCTGGAGAGAGCAAAGAGGCACTGAAGAATGAAGAAGAGTATTTGGGCAGACACACTGGGGAAAAAGTAATTACCATCATCAAGTGAATAATACCGCCAAAAACAGAGAAGAGAAATTAAAGGGGAAAAAAAAGGTAAAAAAAAATAATGAAGAGGGAGAAGGGAAAAATACTCAAAAGGAAAAACGTGTTGCTAACATGAAGAAACATACAAGCGAAAATAAATAGATATGAACAAATAGGAAAAAATCATGGATGGGTTAGGAGATACGAACTAAATCTTGAGGTTGTGAGACAGTAGATGCAGATCTTTCTAGTCATAGTCACACAAACTTGGGAGCTGTGGCTTTATTCAAAGCGTCTCAAAACTTCCCTGGAAAGTGACCTGTGAGCCACGTATTTCACAGGTTGCCTGCACCAAAGGTAGAGATTTTAAAGCACCACGAGTCCTCGTGGTCCTCCGGCCACCATTTGACAACAACAATCTGCAGCATTTCATAGGCGTAACTTAGAGCCTATGAAGAACTGGAACTTGTGAGGATTGTTCTTACACCTTCCATTTGTGGTTTAAAGCTCAAAGGGGTGCTCTCTGGCCTAATTTCAGGTTTCAGGGGATTAATTCCTTTCCCACTACAGCGTCACCAATAGTCTTCCTGGAACTGCAGGGATGTGCTCTGCAGTTTTGTGTTTTAAGAGGTTTTACTGAATCTAGATTTAGCAGAAAAGAGATTTTCTGTTGTCGTTTAAGTAAATGTATGTTTTCAGAATTAGTGGATATAGGGCGCAGAAGCTAAAATTGAAATTAATTGGACAACAGCCTGTACCCTTCCTTTAAAAAAAGCTGGCTGAATGCTGAGAAGCCACATACAATATGGTTAGTTTCCATTATTATGCGGCCTGTGAAACCATTTTGTATTGTCATCTTCTTACCATCTGCAAACAATTTCTGCCCATCGTGATCCTATACTTCACATAAGGACA